TGCGGCCGCCGTGCCGTGCGGATTCGCGAAGCCGGCAGCTTCGCCAGCAAGCCAGCCCGCACGCTATGGCGCGAACATAGAAAATCTGGAAAAAGCCGCAAAACCGACTGCGGGCGCCGTGCCGTGCGGATTGGCGAAGCCGGCAACCCCCTACGAAGCCCAGCCCGCACGGTATGGCGCGAATGGGCGAAATTCGTCACAAAAATAAAAAACGCAGGCGATCACCGTCCCGCCCTGATTCGCGCGGATTGCTGATCTGTCCTGAAGCTGGTCCGCATGGTATGGCGGCAATTTGTTCTTGTTGTTTTGTTTTGCTTTTATTGTTGACAATAACAGTCCCACCTGGATTCGCGCGGATTGCTGATCTGCTCTGAAGCTAATCCGCATGGTATGGCGGCAATTTTTTTTGTTGTTTTGTTTTGCTTTTATTGTTGACAATAACAATTATTATTTAATTATTTTTTTTCTGACCTGCCGGCTTTTTTCTTTGGGATACACGAAAGATAAAACAGAGCCACGGGGAGAAACGCAACAACAAACGTGAATATTCTGCAGTTCTGGATCCATGACCTTTCCGCCTTCGTACGTATCGAGCTGCGATTCAAAGAGACAGACAACGCGCGTGTTTCTTCTGTGCGCCACCGCATGGTGCACGACACAAAATCTGGTCTCGATCTTTGCGAAAACTTGCTTTTGCACCAGCAAGAGATCTAAACAGTTCGCAAACCAAAAGCAAAAGGCAACGTCGAACATAAATTTGTTTTTCCACAAGGAGCCGAATGTCTGAACAACCAAATGCTTCGAACACTACAGCGTGCTGATCACCTCTCTTCGGCCGATGCCGTGATCGTCATCGACAAGAGCCACACTGTTCGTCTTTCGTGTTCAACTTCTGCGAGTTTCATTCCAAAGAGTACATGAGTCGTTTATGCCAGGTGCTGCCGCGAAAAAGAAATGGCGATCACCCCATGTGCCAATGCAATAATCAACAATCCTTGGTCTTGCCTGGCGCGCGGTCGTATTAGTAAATACACGGACTTCCGATGTTTTTCATCCCCGGATGCGGCCTTCTGCCGCTCCTCTAAAAACCCAGTTCCCGCATATGGACCAAAGTCGTGGCAGAGGAGCGGAGGAGATCCAAAAAAGTGCGCTTCCAAACCGAACGCTGAGACGCTTCGCACCGCTGATCTACGTAAGTACCAGCATCTGTCAGTACTCAAACCAGCGAACCGAAGGCCGCCAAGTAAACACGACTCCGGAGTTTTCACCATCGCCGTGTGTTGTCCGACGCGATGAACCAAAAATAGTGCACCAACCAAGGGTCGAGCGAAGGCCCGGCTAGAGGTCGCCGGGAAGCCCTGGTTCTCCTGGCTGTTCCCACGACCGCCGACCACCTACTTTGGTAAATTGCAACTGACCCTGGGAGGTGTCGACGCAGAAGTTCGACCGACCATTTCATTTTCTGCGAAGATCGGACTTAGGCAACGCTCCGTGCTGGGCCAGCGGTCCCGCGGTCTGCTTCGCCGCTTGCGGCGGCCCAGGCACGGTGCCAGGCTGCTCTTGCTCCTTTTGCGCAGGAACGGGCGCGCTCGCCGCGGGCGTCCCGCCCTTCAACAGCGCATTGTTAGAAACAGAAACGGAAGTCGGCCCTGGAATTCTCGGGGATGCGGGCGGACGGCTAGCAGACGGGTTGTTGACCTCTTGTCCACCATTCGCAACAACAAGTGCATTAATGTTAGTAGGCGGCGCTGCCGGTTCTGCATTGCTTGTCGCCGGGAAAAAACGGTCCTGGCTCGTCAATCCGGCATCCGCGGCCATCCGCATCCGGGTCCCCGGTGTCGCAGTCGGCGCGGCCGGTCGCGGGGGACGCTTTTGCTCGGCGGCTGCGCCACCACCTGGCGGACCAGCTTGCGCCTGCGGCTGGCCACCTGAAGAAGCCGTTGCGACACCTGGCCCTCGCTGGCCGAAGCTCTGCTGGGGTACCGGTTCGGTCTTTCGCACTGGCAGACGGTGCAGCGGGAGGAAGAGTTGCTCCGTCTCTTTTCCCGAAAGAACAATCGCTGCGCCTCCCAGAGCACCGAGATCAACATCCGCGAATTTGTGCGGAACTACAATTCCGTTCATTTTTGCAGCCGCGGCGTTTCCCGATCCCGCTTGCTTTTGCACGACTGTACCTGTACCACGTGCTGGTCCGAGGCCGGCGTTGCGCGCAACAAGCGCAACGTGCTGAGAAGACGACACACCAGACACCCCGGCGCGCGGCGGTCCGCCGGGTGCTGAACCCAATGCAGGTGGTGCACCGACCAGAATCTTCGGTCGCTTGGCCTCCTGCCTTGGTGGGGCCGAGAGCGGAGTACTGGTCTCTTCTTCCTCCGCCTCCGCTCGCCCGCGCTTGTTGGTCACGCCCGGCGGCGGCGCCGATGTCAGGATCCGACTTGCGGTCAAGCGGTCGAGCCCCCGGAGCTCCCGACGCGCGTTCACCGCGTCGGCGTAGCCTCCGGCCGCATGGACGTCTCCTTGCACCTCTTCCCATGACCTTTGAAAACTCGTCCGCGAGGAGCTTGTTCTTTCCGCAGCGGATTGTTCCGGACGAAGAGCCCGCACCCGGCGCTGCGACAAAATCGGGAACGGGGGATCCCGTCCGCGCGGATTCACTGCGAACACCGGCTCCAACTCGTCGTAACGGGGCGCCCGGGCGGCTGCGGCTGCACTCACCGTCGGAGCTGTGGGTAGCACGGAGGCGGTTCCTGATACTACAACCTGGGCAGGATTAATGTGCGCGGACGTTGCTAGAGGGGCGCTACTACCCTCCGCAGCTGCAGCATCACCGCCGGCCGAACGGAGCTCCTGGTTTTTCCTTCTCTCGCGTTCGCGCCGCAGACCCTCGTTTATGCAGGCCACGACGTCCCCCACGTGGGCCGGCTGGCACCAGAAAATGCCGCGGGCCTTCGGGTCCGACACCGAGGTGATCGGGCGCAGTGGCTGGATCGTCGTGGGAGTCGTTCGTTGTACGGTGACCGCTGCAGACCCTGCAGCACGACCTGCACTTTCTTCTTGTTCCCGAGGGACGTCACTACCGCTCGGAGCCGCGAGAGGTGATGTCTCCTGCCGCTCAACATTGGTGATCCGTGCATCCGCGCCGTCCTGCGGGTTTCCAGGTACTACTTCGCTGCCGTTAATATTTGATGGCCCAGCGTTAGCTGTCGGGTTCTTGTTCTCCGCCACCAACACACTTTCCAATGACGTAGTACCCGACGAGCTACCCGGCCCGGTTTTTCCGCCCGCCTCGACCGCGGAAACAAGCGCGAGCACGTCCTCCACCGTGGGTTCGGCGTTGGCCCGGTCTGCATCCACGTCGCCTGACGTCGGACCTGGTCCTCGCGGCGTCCGCGAAATGTTCTGCGCCGCCAGCTCTGCGCTTCGGGCGGCTCCCGCACCAACCTCGTTTGCGAGAAGGTGTGGTGCGGGAGGCAGATCTTGGATGGAGGATCTCCTCGCCGCGGCTCCCCGGGATCCGCCCGCGCTTTGCAGCAGCTCCGCTCGTGAGGACGCCCGCGATCTGCGCGGCCGATGTGGGTCCGCCCCATCGGCGATTTTCTCGTCCTCGTCGAGCTCCTTGATCTTCTGGTCCAACGCAGTCTGGTTTTGCTTCTCCATTTTGTCGAGTTCGTTCTCGGGAATCAGGTCCATCAGCTCGTTTTCTGATCCGCGGCGCAGTGCCGCCGCGCTCGACCCGGAGGCGCGCCGCGCGGTGCCGCCGCCCGGCAGAGATGGAGAAGCTGCCGCGGCCCGTTGCTCCAACGCGCCGGTTCGCGCGGCGACCTGCGCCTGCCGCTCCGCCTCCCGCCGCCGCTCCTCCTCCCGCATTTGCTGCGCCCGCTTGATCCAGCCATCGCACCCGAGGTTGCGCCGCGCGCGGTTGTCCAAGACAAATTGCGGAAGCTCGGAATCTGGCAGGCTGGATCTCTTCTGCCCGTCGTAAAAGTAGGACGCCAAGCACGCCTCCTGCGTGTCGCGCCACTCCGACCCCTGTGGCTGTAGTCCACCGGCGCCGGCGGTGGCACTACTGTTTGTCCCGACGAAGTCGGCCACGGGCTCCCGGTTGTTCGCTTCATCACTTTCTCCTTCCCGCGGCTGGTGGTCTCCCGCGGCTGGGCCGGGTTGAACGCCAGCACCGTCCCCGGCCCTACTCCCCCCGGCGGCCCCCGCGGACACGCCCTTTTGCAGCGGGTAGTCGAAGGCGAGCAACAGCTTCCAGTTCCTCTGTTTGTAGTTCACGTTCCCCAGCTCCTGGAGCACCTGCACCGTGCGCGGGTTCCCGCGACGACAGGCGTAGAAGAGGCAAGTCTCGCGGTTTCGGTCCACGTGGTTCACGTTGGCAAACTTTTTCAGCAGGTACGCGATCACATCGACCCGGTCGTTGAAGTTGCAGGCGTAGAACAGCGCCGTCTGCTCGTTCATGTCCCACGCGTTCACGTCGAGCGTGGGGAACTCCTTGCTCTCCTTCTGGTGCCGCAAGGCGTCGTGCAACCGCTTGCCGATCGGACTGGTCTGCACCCGCACCCGCGTGTCCAGTCGCGTGTGTTCGATCACTATGTGCGAGGTTGCGACGGGAATTCTGTTGTGGCCTGCAAAAACTACACCCGGCGAAGCAATAAGTGCTTCCCCGTCGGAGGATCGAGTCACTGTCGAGGCAGCCGTAGTGGTTCCTTTCTTTGCTCCTGCGCCAAGAAGACCCGCTGGTATGGCCCCCGGATCCATCGCCGCCCGCGGGTCCGGCTCGTTGGACTTCTTGCTGAACGGGGTAGCGGAGGTGTTGGTCGCGTCAAGCACGTTGAGCGACAGGTGAAACCCCTCGCCCTCCGGTGGCGACGCGGCCGCGCTTTCTACCTCCAGTGCCCCTGCCGTGGCCGTTTTCTTGCTTGCCCCGGCGTTCCGCGGGGCGCGCTTCATCTTTTTGCTTTTGGTCGACGTCGTGGTGGCTCCCTCGTGCGGGTGGTTTGAGGGGGCGGCGGACGACTTGGAACTTTTTGCCGACCGACCGACCTGCGCGGCGGCAGGAGCCACGATTTCCTCGTGGTCCAGCGTTCCTCCTTGCTTGGGCAAAAAAACACCGATCGGCTTATTTTGCTGGAGCTCGCCCGGCTCGACGTGCGCGTTCACCTCGGCCCACAAATTGCCGGCCTCCACCAAGGTCCGCGTGAACTCGAAGGCAAGCTGCGGGTCCTTCTTCTGCACTGCGTCGAACAGCAGCGTTTGCCCGTCGTCCGGGCAGCGGTTGCTGATCGCGTTACCGGACGACTCCGTCAGGATGGTGGTCAGGTCCTCGGCGCTCTCCCCAAATTTCACGTAGTTCACCAGTCGGGAAAACTCGGCGCGCAAAGCGATCATGGGCCTATAGTAGTGATTTTTCCTCCAGCATACATTCATCACGAGACAGGGCAAAGCGCTACATCTAGCAAGGTTTCTCCAATGAAAAATCTAAACTTTTTCACGACCAAGTCAACATGTTCTTAAAAAGCGCAACATATCAAAGGTTGTTAGTGCAACTGCACTCTACTTTAACTTTGGTCGATTATTGCAAATCTAAAGGAAACAGCACTAGAGCACCAGCAATTGTACTACTACATCACACACGACACAAGAGCCGAACTGCGGCATGCGCACAAAAAGGACAGAAATTCCCCAAGAAAGAGTCAATCAAATACAGAGTCATCTCGCGCAGCAGTCCGCTTTCCCAACCCGCGGTCTTGAGCTCCATTAGGGTGCATCTGCGGTAGTTCAGGCGGGCGATCGCGTCCGTGTCCTTGAACTGCAAGTCCGTGGCGCCGCATTTTTTCCAGAACTTCAGCGCGGGTTGCGTCGCGGGAATGATGATCTTGCGCACCTTCGGGCTGGATTTGTAGCCGCTGTAAGTCCTTTTGATAAACCAAACCAGGCGGGTATCGACTGGGGAAACACATGTGGCAAAAATGTTGAGCTAAAACTGAGTAGTGGAGGACACAGCTAAGTACCCAAATTGGTATAATAGCATGATTTCATCATTAACCAAATTGCAATATGATCCTCGGGACGAAGTTGTGGATCATGCGCAGTTTACATCATAAACCCAAGCGCTAATTTCTTCATCTTCCCGTCGCAATGACAACTAACCACAGGCTTGACGGTGTTGAGGCTCCTCACCAGATTCTAGCAGAAACATCTTTAGCCCTGTGTCCCCAACCATACAGCTCCGCCATGCCCATTCTCCTCCACGCCTTCGCGGTAGCGAAAAGCGTCAAGACCGTTTTACGGGAGATTTTTCGCCGCCGGCCGGTTGTTGCCTTCGCTGCCTGCTGTTTGCTCGACGGTTCTATAATTTGCACCGTTTTCATCGAAGCGCCCGGTCCCTTCTTTTTCTTGTTTTTCTGATTTTTGCTGGACGCCACCGACGCCGACGCCATGTCTGCTGCAGCGTCCTGGTTGATGCTCCCGCCCGCTTCGTTGCCTTGTTCTGGCTGCTGATCCGCCTGATCCTCCTCTTCTCCGGGGATATTCTCGTAGTAAAAATCGTCGTCGTCGTCGTCATCATCCTCCCAGACGAAATTTGGATCGGTGGACGCCCGGTGCAAATCATCCGGCAAAAAGGACGTGCTGTTTCCCTTATGAGAAAAGAACTGTTTTCCTTGCTTTCCCTTCCCCTTCTTGCCCAGCGCCGCGGCTGCCCGTCTTTGCTGCTGTTGCACGGTCTGTGAGCGAGTTACCCGCGTCGACCGCACCCCGGGCTTCGCGAGAATGAGGTTCGGGTTTATTTGCATTGTTGCTGGGCCATCTACATCTCCTGCTGCTGCGCCGACCTCGGTTGGTTCGTTCGCCAAGCCCTTCGTCGTCATACCCGCGGCACAGAGGATCTCGCCAGACTTCATGTGCCGAATGGCAAAGGTTGCAGTCTCGTATTCACCGTGATTCCAGTCCGCGATGCACCCCTCTGTGAAGCCGCCCCACTACGTCTCAAAGTGAAAAACGCCCTTATATCTGAGAACTTATCGGAGAGCTGCTTCACATTAGTCACCGCCAACATGCTAGCAACATAATTTTATTGGTGCAGAAAGCCCATCGATTCTGAAGCCGTAACAAGATTTCTCTACTACAAATCTTTTATAGGCGAAGTAGAAACTACTTCTCTACTAGATGGCATCGACAAAGCAGCTCGCAGTTAGGATGATGAAAATCAACAAAACCTGATGCAACAAAACCATCTGAAACTCCCGGGCATGGGGGCAGGCGCTTTTCACTTTGATACTCCGTGAACAACTTCACGACGCCCTCCCGGTCTTCGTTCACTTCAAATTGCAAGTCCAGGCTCTGCTGGAGGCTTGTCGCGTGACTTGCTGAAAAGATGTTCGAATGCGATGTTGCCTCGAGCATCTTCAAGGAAAGCGGGTATGCCTCCTGCTGTTGGCTCGTGGTGCTGGTGACGTCGGAGGGGGAAAGCTGCGCCGAGAAGAGATTCTGCATTTTGTGCCCGGACTGGTCGGAACTCGCGCTGGAGAGGGTTTCCAAAAGGTGCACCTGCTGCTTCGACCGGGTCCGCGCGTCTCCCACATCGTCCGAAGACGCAGAGGACTGGTTGTCGTTTGTATTCGTCAGATCTGCGGACCCGGCGTTTTTCGCATGTTTCGACCCGCCCCGAGAGGTGGTTTTACTCTTCTTGTTCCCTCCCGCTCCGGTCGCGAGCCAGGAGGTGGTGCCGCTGTCCGCCCCGTCCAGCAGCATCTCGTTCTCGTCCACCGTGGAGAGCTTGTGGTGGAATGCCCCACCTAGTCCGAGCTGCAACGCGGTAGAAGTACCGCTGCTCGCTGACGCGTGGGTCGGCGTGCGGAAATGGTTGTGCGCGCTGTTGCCCGCAGGGACCTGGACCATGATTTCCACCACCTGCTTCGGCAGCTGGTGCCCGGTACAGGGCTGCACCGTGTGCTTCGACTTGTTTTGTTGTTGTTCGCCATTTTGCAGCGGCTCCGTAGCGGACACCGCGTTTGTGTCGGGTTCATTTTCCATGTTGCCGGACTTGTGAGGAGATCTTGAATCTCGAAGTGACAAAACCTGTTTCGCATCAAGAGCTCTACTACAAGTACTTCCCCGCTCGTAAAACTACTGGGCGAAGACGTCGTCGCGAACTATAAGTAGTTTTCCTGAGGAACAGACTTGTTCTCCCGGTGCTTCCTCCTGGAGTGGAGGTGGACACGTGCGCTCGCGTACAGGTCAGAGGTGAACTCGTACGACTACGATCATTCTGCAGCACGCATAATCCTTCTGCTGGAAGATAAGAGTTTCGACCTGTTCCGGGCGTCACCAACTGCAGGTAACAAAGCTCGTACATCCACCGTCTCGATGTTCGTCGGTGGCCCCGCGCGAGCGCGCGACTGGTTCACTCCGGAAGAAAACTTGCAGCGGGCCTCCTGCCATACCTGCAGAGTGCGCGCGCGAGGTGGAAAAAATACCGGAGGCGCTATGTTGCGCTTCTTACGAGCTGGCTTCGTTGTAAGTATCTACAAAGGCCGCGGGGAGCCGCAAAAAGCCCGCTACTTAAGTGAAAAACCAAGGTCCTGGCACCAGAGCAGGCGTCCCCACCGACAAAACAGTGGCAGTACTACGCCTGCTACGCGGTAAAAGTTACTATGTCGCCGGAGATAAAAAATACGTAGGTATGTTTCCTTTATTTCTAATGGATTAAGTCCATTTTATGTAGGGCCGTCGAAGAAATATGTGCATGATGAGTGTCGCTGGGAATGAATTGTGATATATCCGTATGGTATGGGGAAACGTGGACTAGCTAGGGTTTTTTCTGATTATCTCAGGTCGCATTGTTTTCATCATTCTTCAAGGATAATGGGTGTTGCAGGCCGCGGCGCGCTCAAAACCATCCTACTTTATAATTGGCAGATTTTCTTCAGAAAGGCCGAGCGATTTTATCGTGTCTGCTTCATGCGATCCTAATTCTATGCCACGAAGGCGCTGACTACTGCAAAATGTTCGCGATTTATTACGCTTGAAGAAGTTATGACGTAAAAACACAGCTATTTCGAGTGAGTACGACTACCAATCAATAGACGGCCAGAACAAGAGCTTTCGGTAGTTTGTCGCTGTGCCTCACTGGAGAACGAGAGCTTTAGTAAAAGTGGCATAGGCTGGTATTAAAGCTGCAACTCCGTGTCTTTAGTGCCTTCCCTTTTCCTTTTGTTTTGATACGTGGAACGATAAATACTCACGCTGTTAAAAGGTCGATCGTACCAAGCGAGCTCATTTCAGACTCAAAAATCACGATCTTGACAGGCGGAGACGCAGCAGACAAGACCACGCACAGGCTCGGAATCTTGTCCTCTTTTGTATATTTTCTTTCAATGTAGATACAACCAGGAGCATGAAGCTTGTGGGCTAATCAGTCATGGTTCAGATCTTGGTTCTTGCGCCACACGCAACATTGCGCACACATTAAAATTAAACCTCGGTGGACGAGCGTGTGCTTGCATATGCGAACGCAGGCACCTCTCCCCATTTGCGTACGCAGTATTACCCGAGCGTGCGGGCCCTGGCGCATCAGAGAGGTGCGTCTTTTTTGGATCTTATATGTTTGAGTTTGTATTGCACGAGCGCGCTGCATGATGTCTTGTGTGCACGCAGATGACATCACGCTGTTCGAAATTCAGAGCGATGTTGTGTTTGTGATCAGTTACAGGCTAGGTTGCGGCGATTCGGTTCTAGAGCCATATTATTTCTGAAAGGAGCCCGGGCGATGTGTGTTTCTGCAATGTGGTGTGCAGTTCGTTTTTTGGTGCATTCATCAGAATTTTGATCAAGGCGTCGGGGGTCAGGAGAAAAGTCCGAGTCGTGGTTCGGAAATATCAGAGTACAAGGAATAAATGCGAAAATTAACCTCATCGACTGAGCATGAACCTTATGATGGCCGCGTGCGGTGGGGCGCCGCGCTGCACTATCCACCCGGCGCCACTACACTGGCTACAAAGATGTCTGCAACGTGGCTTTTCAGCAGGTTTTGCCTCCGCGTGGCGTCTGCGACGCGGTCGTTCATGATGCTTCTCGCGGTCTTGTGCGTCCGCACGGACGCCATTACCTGTGATGGATGAGAGTGGTACAGCAATCCTGTTCAAAGGAAGCAAGGAGCGGCTTTGCTTTTAGGGGCAAGGGCAACATTTCGTTCCCGTTCTGTAAAGAAAAAAGATTGTCAAACGAATCCGTGTCGGCAAGAACAGGTTTTCATCAAACTACTAAGTGCCCTACCTCATCGCGGTGCTTCTTTTCTATTCCAATTTCCCGCCTATAGGTGCTGGACATGTTCTGTATTGCCTCCAGTTGTTCCCTATGCAATGCAAAAGCATCGTACTAGTATAAATTGCATGACAAATTGCCCAGCATTACAAATTGAATTGGTAATGCTGATTTATCTTGAGAAAGAGATTTGTAATGCATAAACGCGATTTTTACTACGAGTGCGATACTTTTGCACAGGATATTCCCGGTGCTCCCCGTACACTGCTAAGAGTTCCCGCATCTGCTCTGACATTGTTTCCACCTCTACAGCTGATAGATTTGTTTCATTTTTCTCGTCAAACGCACAGCAACGATTTCGCAGGTACAAATTTTTGCGACTCTAGCGAGAATATGGATCATTTCAAGCCGTGCACTATTACACGACAACAATTCCTCTATTCTTTCATAATGCGCACCTTCGTCTTCGTTGTTCTCAAATACTTTATCAAAGTCTACCTAGCTTTTCGTTTTCCCGGAGCAGGCCCTGCAATTCGTGCCTTAGCTTCGCATTCCCTGCCTCCAGCTCTTTGAATTTTTTGTCGTAATCCTGTTTCTGCGTCTCGCTTTTTTCCAGTTGTGCCTTTTTCTTCACTATTACGGCCTGATTCCTTTGGATAGCTTTCTTTGCGTCCGATATTATTTTGGTCAGCGCTTGCTTCTCGGCCTGTTTCAGCTCCAACTCCTCGGTAAACTGCTTGGACAGCGCCACAATGGTTTCAAAATCAACCTCCTGGGCGCACTTTCTTGTCACTGTGGATATGTTGTGATGCACGTGGTTTCCAAGCAGTATCGAGGCTAAAAAAACATCAACTGGCGGTAGCTTTTGGATTCGCTTGTTTTACTTCCTCAGTGCTAAAGCGCCGCAGTAAGAACATGCATAAGCAGTCAGTACTTTTTTTTTGGAGCACCATGTAAATGGAGACCAATGGAATACGGCCATACTCAACCGCCGTAACGCGGACTATTTCTGGTCTGATGTTTGATGGAAAGAAGTAGAATTATTACTGCCTTTGCAACTACGAACGCAAATCGGCTACATCCATGTCTTTTTCCAGTGCCATAGTGTGCACCTGCGTTCCGGTATTGGTTTTGACGCCCGGTCCGGTTGCGGGACGCTCTGACGCCCCAAAACTTCCGTACACGGACGTCGCCATAGGAGGTTCTTATATATTATTGCTCGATAAGAAGGTAAAAAGGTATCTTTTGCTACAGTAACTCAACTTCTGTGGGGTCTCCAACGTAGCCAGAAGTACGCTGAACGCGCGAGCTTTTTGTTCAGAGGAACCAATTATGACTGCCTGCACAAACTGAAACGGGCCTTCTACGCTAAAGAACAAAATGCACCCAACACCGAGAAGAACCACCACAACCAGTATGCCTTTGACAGCTGACTGACAGGGCTGTAATCACCGACGTGAGGCAGTCCGGAGTAAACGGAGGCCCATCTGAGTTCAAGAAATCATCCGCAAGAGCTGAATCCAAAGCAACGAAGAAACGAGCAGGCTCGGTCGTCAATATGGTGCTTCACCATATTAGTGCAGCATGGATGAACATCCCCAAATGACTCTCCTGCAGCACGTAGCCGCCAAGCGGTTCTGCAGCGTGTTGTGCCACTGGAAATTATCAGAATTTCCGCTGAATACGAGGACCTGACAAGAGGCGGACCACAGCACAGACATCAAAGTACGGGGACTCCGACTGCGGTTTTTACACCTCAAGCCGTCTACTTTCTGGCAATCTTTTTTTCTGCTGCAGTACCTATTGCAGGCATTGCATCAACAGCAAGAACTTTGTTCCGGGGCCGAATCTCCAAAACCGCACCTGGCTTCCTTCCCACTTGTCCGCAAACGCCAGCCAGCGAGAGCACAACACACAAGTAGAAAAAGTGGGCTGTAATTCAGCAATTGCCTCACTTGGGGCGCCGGTAGCTTTTCACACCGTACTGTGCCTGCACGAGCTGGCGATTGTTGTTGCTGTTCCCGGCGATGGCAGCCTGGTTCGACGTCGCACTTGTTTTGCTAGCGCCTCCCCCGCCAAACATCCCGCCAAAGCTGCTGAACATGGATTTTTTCTCCACGGCGACCACCTGGTTGCTCGTTTCGGGCTCCCGCGGCCGAATTGGCAATCGGCCGGCCGGCTGGGACGGCTTGAAAACCCGCTGCTTGGTGATATCTATCGTCTTCGCTGTCATATCCGCGTGGTCCACCTGAAATCAGATTTATTTCGTTTTTTCGATACTGTAAAAATATTGGGTTTTAAGTTTAAGAATTAATTAATTCGTCCCCGGCTTGTGTGTGTCGGGGCCGGCGAAAGTCCCAAGACCTGGTAAGCTTTTTGATATTTGATTATTAGTATTGAAAACTTCGTCATACAGGATGCCTGCGCATTTATTTTTTTTGCCACACATGTTTTCGCACTGACGAATTAATTTTCGATAAAACAAGGGGTGGCACGATACAGACACACAGGTGACTCAGAGACAGACACCCACACAAGATCCGTCGTGCAATTATTTGCTGACAGACATGATGAACGGAGTTAGTTTTTTCCTCATACACACACTCCGGGAATTAATTAATTAACTTAGAAACTTAGATTCTAAGTTAATTAATTAATTCCGGGACTGTGTGTGTGAAAAGCCAGTCTAGCCTCTTGGCGTTGTTTGCATACCCAGCTTGTGGCCACTACGCCCGCGCGGGCGCGCGGGCGATTGACCTGCGCGCAGTAAAGTGAAAAGCACGTTTGTGCGTGAAAGCTACAAAGGCCCGCCCTTTACAAAGTAATTCCAAAAATGCCACGCGCCGCCGTGATTTGCATTGCATTGGGCCGATGCGGCCACCTCGTTCTATTCCTGCCGTGCACATTCGCCCACGGCAGCCCAGAGGCATCCTGCGAGCGCGCGCCAGCCCGCCTTCTCAGCGCGCGCGCACACAGGCTCGACCTCCTATGTGTGCGCGCGGGCTATTCGCCCTGCGTGTGCGGCCCCAACCTCTTGCGCGTCTGCGCGCGCGCGAGCCCACCGCCAGCGAGCGCGCGCGGGACAGGAAGATGTCTGCGCGCCCGGGGGGCATGAGGATGGTTGCGCGCGCGCGCTTTGTGCACAGGACACGTTGACGGCTGCGCGCGCGCGGGGCATGTGGATGTCTGCATGCGCGCGCGCACGAATGAGATTGCGCGCGCGCACAGGGCACGAGGCTGCGTGCGTGCGCGCGCGCGCGATTGCGTGCGCGCACAGGACATGAGGATGTCTCCGCGCGTGCATTACTGTGTGCGCGCACAGGGCATGAAGATAAAGACCGCAGGTGGGTGCGCGCACGCGCGCGAAAGACGTAAACTTCTGCGCCCGTGCTCACGCACACAAAAATCTGCGCGCGCGCGCAAAACTCGCAGCCGTACGCGTTGGCTTTTGGGCGCGGCTCGGCCACACGAAAACGCGCCGCGTCACTGTGCCGGGCGCGCTAAAAATGGGCGCCGAAGCTGCCAGTGCTCGTCCTGAAGCTGAACACAGAGGACCCCCGAATTAATTAATTAACTTAGAAACTAAGTTTCTAAGAAAATTAATTAACTCCCCGATAACCTGTGTCCAGGTAAATAATGCCCTGGTCCGTGTGTGTATTGGATAAAGTGAGCGGCCACTGCCCTCATGTGTGGCCCAAAATTGCCCGCGCCGTCCTCCCCTGTGGCCATGAAAATTAAACTCCCCGGCCATGTATATCAAACATTTTCCGTCCCGCCGCCGTCGCCTGTCGCCGAGAATCCACATCTGCGCCGCGCCTCTCCGAATCCGCTCCGACACCACATGGAGACGCCGGCCCCGACACACACAAGCCGGGGACGAATTAATTAATTCTTAAACTTAAAACCCAACATTTTTACAGCCCCGTTTTTTCTGATTCAATCTGAACGAGGCAACAATTCTTCAAGTAGAACTGCTGGATGAACGATGTGGTGATAAAAATATGCTCCAGGACGACAATCTGTCCCTCTAGACATCCACAGCCCCAATAAAAAGCCTCGGTCTCTCGCGTCATCAGCAGTTATGCAAAAAAAAACCTGTACTTTTTCTGGTGAATCCGGTAGGTTGAGTTCCTCGAAGAGGCCCTCGTCCTGCGCTGGCGCCGTTTTTGTCCCGCCCACGCCGAGTATGCCGAGGCCGCCCTTCCACCGGCCCTTGGCGCGCGCGAGGTTCTGCCGCCCGTGCTGGGGTTTCAGAACGCGGAAGTTTTCCGGTTTCAGCGACAGCTCCTTGTGCTCCTCCTCCACCGTGCTTTGGAACACGACCACGTCGACGAGCCATCTTTCCTTGTCCTCGACGTATTTCATCAATTTTCCCTTCAGGCCGTTGTACTCCAGTTTCGTCAGGTTTTTCAGCACCACTTCCGCCCCGGCGTACGCCTGAAACCCCTCGGGGGGCTCCCACAAGTCCTGCTCGTCCTCGGACTCGGGCGGCCCCTTGCAGTACGCCTTCACCTTCTCGAACCCTTTCACCGCAACGAAGCCCAGGCCGGCGAGCGGAAACAGGAGCACCCTGGAGTTGGAAATATGAAGTTTTGGGGCACTTAATCCATTATCTCAACACCTGTTGCTACGTGATTATCTACTTCACGAATGCAGGCAGTTGCTAGGTGATCGTCAAAGTTAGTGCGCACGAACAGAGATACAGAAAACAAAATGATGAAAGCATCAAAAATTATGACCCAGTCATTTATACAGTGCGATCTTTTTCGCCTTAGCAATCATGGGATCTTCCTCCTCCCGGTCTTGAAACTGCGCTTGGCGTTTGCAGAAGCACATCGCACCCCCCACCACCAGCCCGACCGCCAACACGCAAAGCAGGGCGACAAACAGCCCACTGCTGGTAAACTCCTCGTCCTCCGCCTCCGTACTCGCGGGCGGTTGGTTAGTGACGGTCGGCTCCTCCGTAATCTCGACCCACATGTGATCGGGCCAGTTGGTCACCAGCGATTCCTTCGCGAAGTGGTAGGCGGTGGCCTGCAGTTTGACCCGGTCCTGCCGCATCAGGTCGGCTTTCTGCTTCAACTGCTCCTTGGACTTCTCGGTGCGGATCTTCACGTAGCCGTAGAGGTACTCCCCGGCCGGCAGAAACGTGTTCACGTTCTGCGTGGTCACGGTGGTACTGGTCGTGCCGCCGGCGTTGGCGTTGTTCACGTTCACGTTGCAAATGTAGTCGATGCAGTATTGTGAGGAAAATTCCCCCTCCCCATATCGAAAAGGCATGTTTCCGAATATTTGTGTTGCTTATTTGAGGTCGCAAATCACGTCTGTATTGCAAGAAGACAACTCCGCAGGCTCTGCCGCACTATGCAGGCGGTTTGTCATGCTGTTGGGCCTACAACATAGACGTTTCTCATGCTAAGCGCCTAGGCCAAAAGCTCTCTACTCAGGCTTGGCAGGAGCCCGCAGTCCTCGCCAGCAAGACAGATCTGATTTGAGTACGCAAATCCAGCATCAGAAACTTCGTTTTGATATGGGGAGGGGGGGTTTTTCCTCTCAATATGCAGGTTCCCTGGCACCCCGCGGCGCGCGCGCGCTCCAGGTCGGTGCCCTTGCCGGTGCACACGGCGGCGAGGCCGAACATCGTGGCGGCGAAGTGGCAGCTGGTCAGGGGATCCCCCATAATGCTGTGAAATGCGGTGTCGTCGTCCTCGCAGGCGATAATCGTCAGTTTCCGCTTGATGTTCTCCGCACCGGGTGTTCCTGCTGTTGGATTTTTGTTATCTCTATGGCCAGGTGACTGCTGTTTATGGACAGCGCTGGCTTCCTCTATCGCTGTGTTGCTGCCCGACGGCTGCACCATGTCGTGACTATTACTATCTGTGGTAGAAGCAGTCTTCCCGTTATTTGTTATTTCTTCCGGTTTGGTTTTCCTCAAGAACTTTCTTTTGTTAGCTTCGTAGGAGGCTGGGCTTCCCGCGAATAGCCGCGTGAGAAACCGCCGCCAGGGGGTGAACCAAGTGCCTATTCTGCTGTTTTCTCCAGCGGAATTGCGGCTGTTCTGTGCAAGAAGCGAAGCCTCTTCGGCTTCTTTCAGCGCGCGCTGGCGCGCAATGTGCCGCTTCGGGTCGTGGTACAGAAGTCCGGCATTCGCGAGCGGGTCTACTGCGAGGGCCGCGTTACTGTTTTTGCTTTCTTCTCTAGGTGTACTTCTGCTATTTTTTCCTCCTCTTTGTTCTTCCGCTTCTTGTTGTGTCATCAATTCACTGCGATCGAAAATGACCGGCGCGGCGATCTCGATGGTCTCAATCTTCTCTTCCGGTCCTACTTCCCCCAACTGCCGCCCGCTCCAGAAGGGACTTCTGGTGCCGCTGGTCGTGATGACGATATCGTTTTCCGCCTCGTTCGGAATCCACTCGTTCAGAAGCGGGTTGAAGGACCGTAGCTCCAGCGCCAGCACCTTTTTCAGCGTGCGCTCCCAGGTGGAGTCGAACAGCGACTGCTGCCAGTTGCGCAACAGGAACACGACGCGCAACTGCGACACTTTCTCCGTATCCTCCTCCGCGTTCATAGCCCGCTCGTCGATGTCTGGCGTGTTGCGCGGGAGGTAGGGCATGTAGTGGTCCACGACGGAGGGGCAGTTCGGCAGCGGCCGCACGAAGCCGCTCGCCGGGAGCACCGTGGCGGCCGGGCTGACGATGTTCAGCGTGCCCACGTGGTTCCAGTCGGACTGCACCAGGCACCCGCCGTTGCAGTGGCAGACCTTGAAGGAGCCGCAGTATCATGGGTAAAAACGTCTCCACCCCATAGTCAAATTGGGAAATTTGCAACACAAATCTCCAAGGCTTGGGAGTTATGCATGACAAGTTTGGCCTCGTAGTGTAGTCCTGCTTAGCTAGTTTAGCAGCATCACAGATCTAGCGCATCATGCTGAATTCCGAAACGCGACTAGAGAATGCCCCTCATGGGGCTCCGCATGAGAAATATTTTCAGCATGCAGATTAGCATGACAACTCTGGGGTGGGGACGTTTTTCCAAATGATACGCAGCCGTCGATCTTCACATTGTCCCACGCGTTGTAGAAGGTGGAGGCGGCGAAGGGCGTCTTCGTGTCATCCATGCCCATCATGTGCGGCGCGGGCGGTTCGGCGCACCCCATGTTCGCGGTTTGGTACTGCAGAATCCGGATCTTCGCCGTCTGCCCGCCCGTGGCGGACGCGAGCCCCACGCCGGACACCTGGATCCGGAAGTACTGCCCCGCGGTCATGGTCACGTTCAGCCCGAGGTCCACCCCGCCGTGGTCGCGGCCCACGAAAAACGCCGGCTTGGGTAGACTCCGGCTCGTTGACGCCGGGAAGGCGTAGGGCCGGTGCATGGCGTAGTGGTCGCCGCAAGAGCAGTGGCAGTCGTACCCACGCTTGATCATCTCGTTGCAGCTTTTTCCGTCGTTGATGATAAACTCCCAGCAGCTATGGTGTGCAAAAACGATCGATTGTTCCCCAGAAGACCACCCGAAGCTGAGCAGTAACCGGAAAAGCAAAAATACTGGACTCGGTCCTCCACGCTTTAATACTGTGGAAGAAACATTTTTTATGCACCTCACCATGTTGGAAGCCTCTACATTTTACCGTCAAGTTCTCTCTGATCAGCATGAGAGATGAGTGGTCTACTTTCATTTCAGGCCCCCATTTATTGTCATGCGTGGCTTCGCAAAAATACTACTGCAATTATGTAAAATCCAAGATCTAAGGGAGAGTACAGCACGTTGGCCGGAGCGACCTACGAGTTTTGTGTTGCAAAACCTGTTGAAACTACTTCTCGCCTCGTAGGACGGAAGTCTTCACATGCTTTGAACTTATCGGGTCTCCTCGGGAATCCAAAGCGTTTACACAGGCGGATAGCATTGCTTGACCGCCATCCCGTGCTCCTTGCCGCCCTGCTCGTCGCGGCCGCACCGCGCGCTGCACTCCTGCGTCTTGCAGGTGACCGGGCAGTAGTTACGCACGTCCGGGTGGTTGCAGGTGTACACCGCCTTGCACTGCGCGCAGTTGCTGCACAGAGAAAGGCGCGACGGCAGGATCGAGCTGTGGTCCCCTATCCCGAAACAAAATGCTAGCGCATTTGTAGATCAAGAAGCTGCACACGCCAAAATTTTCTCCAATATTACCTGGATGCTGTGGGGTCGCCCATGACCGATTTTGATTCATTTTTACAGCTTAGATGAAATACGATGCGCTAGCTTTTTGCCCTTTGGGATATCCTCGCAGCCCTGCAGGCAGGCCATGTGCGTCTCGCTGTTCGGGTTGCAGTTGGGGACCCACTTGCAGGGGAAATCCTCGTTCAAACAGGCGTTGGGGCAGAAGAAGGGCGGGTAGGTCGGGTTGCAGATTCCCTCGCAGCTCGCCGAAGTCGACATGTCGCTGATCGTCGCGTTCACGTTGCACTGGAAGGGCACGGTCGAATCGTAGCACACCTTGTGGATGTGGTGGCAGGTCGGCGCGGACGGGGGGCAAAATTCGTCGTACAAACACCGCTGGCAGGCGAGCCCATTGGGCGAGTTCTTGTCCACCGAGGGACAGTAGGAGAACTGCGTGACCGCCTTGCTGAAGGCCGTTCGCTGCGCGACCAGCAGTAGAACATACAACAACCGGCGCGGCTGGTGCATCTTGACGCGAGGCGTGGACTTAGAGGCCGAGGCCCTCTTCGGTGCCAGAGGCCCGCGCATGGTAGCTCAGGCAGGCAGGCCTAGGCAGCCGGTCGCGATCGGAGGGCAGCTGGGTAGATCGGGGTTGGGTCGAAAAAGACTGCGGGATCGACAAATTTCGAGCCGAATCTCCTTGCCGAACTTATCTGTACGTAAGGGGAAACTTCTTGCACGTGAGCTCTTACTTTATGCAGGGTGAAATAAGATGGGCGAACGAAGGCCACTTCTCCTTTCGAATGCGATAGAGGAGGGCCCGTCGGGCAGGCATGCATGGAGGTCGAGAAACTGGAAAAAAGAGCAAACGGAGTCCTGTTTCGTCGAGTTCATGATAAATATTCTTGCGTGTGCGTCCGTGGTTTTGCATGTTGTATGCTTTTGTTGCATCCATGCCGAGAATTCGTAAAGTTCTCTGCTTCCCTCACACTCGGTAAGTGAACGCTTCGCTCCTAGTTCTTTGCGGCAGTGACACTTTGCTCTCAATGTATGACGCTCACGGTCCGTCTAGTTTCAGTTCTTGGCGGGTTGCAGTTAAATATCTACGCTAGTGGCATGTCTGTGCGTAGAAATTCCCTCGACGTTCGACTCTCTTTTTGCATCTGACTAGAGGACGGTCGTCGTGCGTACTGTCACCGCTGCGCTCCGTTGTGGACGTCCAACTGCGGTGATTCCATATGATATGCAGAGACGAGGGCAGACAGCGCACGCGATGAAAAGCTTGTCCGATCCACGACCCCAGACGCTGGATTGGCAAGTAGACGCCACGGGACCATTCGCACTGAAGCTAGAACTGGCCGCCCCGCAACGCGAACGAAAATATGTGCCGCGCCCCGCTTCCTTGAAGCGCCCCCTCGCCCGCGCACTGGGAGCAGCAGTGCGACCAGGGCGGAGCGCGGGCTTCTCGCGCTCAACAAAGCGCGCGGCTTTTCCGCGGCCGCGGCACGCACAGAAAAGGGCTCGTGTCGCCGCGCACCTGCGTCCCCGCCCAGTATTATTTGGCGTCTCAATTGCTTGTGCCGACGCAAACGACGCGGCGGAACCGGTCGCGCTCATCGCGCATCCGGCGCCGCCTGGCCGATTTCTCGGAATCCTTGAAAATCCAGGCCGTCGCAACTTGTGGGAGCGCGCGGCGGCTCCACCTGACTGACGTAGGAACGCTAAATCGTAGAGCAAAGCGGTCCGCGCCACTGCCGCCATCTCCGTTGGGTTACGGACGCCGACAAGCAGGCTCCTCGGAAACCTATATGACAGTACGTTTATCCTTTACACACGAAGCCCGTCACCGCGGGACGGGCGGAGCTGAATGAATACAAAGACGCACCATAAAAGGGCCGGCGCGATACATAAAAACAGCGCACAAAAGCGCCTCTGAATCACCGCGGAGCCCTACTCTTGCCCGGATTCCAGTGGCTCCATATTGGAGATAAGCTGGTTGGAGAGAACCTGGCCTGCCAGCCTCCATACATCTCATCTCGATTTTGCGGAAACTCAGTCTATGGGTGACGTTCCAAGACTGACGAGCCCCGCGTCCTTTGTAGAAAGCTTAATACTGAAAAGCTGGATCATATAGAGACGATTTCTGATGATCTGGAGAAAGTATTCTCCCAGATATCCAGAAGAGGAAGACTCCTCTCTTCACAATTTCCAAAAATCATGTGCGCACCTATCCAAATCAGGTTAACTAGATGTGAATAGATAAAGACAGCCCAACATAATACACAACATAGGCAATCGATCTACTTTGATCTTTCATTTTTACCACATCTTGAGGAGGCGTTGGCGGTCAGCCCTTCTTGTTTTTTTTTAAAGTAGGCAACTATACAGATTATCAAAGTATTTTACACTGAGTGCGTGGACATATGAAGAGTGTGCGTGTCTGTCTTACCACATAGTTTTTTTTTCATTGTTTTTACAAGGTGGTATGCACCTTTTGTGTTTTTTCAAATTTTTGAAAAATTTAGAAATTTTATGAAAATAAAAAAAAAACAGCTTGCCTCAATAAATTAAAAAACGATGGAAAGTGTATTGGTAACAATTGTGGTGTTGGTGGGGTGCACACCACCAGCGCCACAAATTGGCACGCCTGCGCCTGTATATCGTATTTTACAGCCTTAGCGCTTCAGGGTCGTACTTAGCTGGTTAAGGTCGTGAATATCGCTAGAGTCGTGGGCCAGGAGTGGGGGGAGAGAATCGAGAGGGATTCGTGTACTCTGCTCGTGTTTCGAGGATATCCGCATGCTATGGCGGACGTGGACTGACAATGCGCATCTTCCTTTGCTGTTTTAGGTTGGTTCTACTATCTCGAGTTCCGGACGAAGGTCGTCTGGTGGTTCTGCCGCATCTGGGAAGCGTGTTCCTAGTGCGTTGCTAAGATAGTTCGATGCTATTTAACATGGTGCCGTAACTCCGCAGAGGCTGCCGGGGTGACTTCTTCTATTTCCTCACGGCGCGACGAGGTGGGACCCGTTCGCGACCTGTTTTTGCACGTTTCCAGGTGTTCTCTCTCGCGGCGTGACGACGACGAGCTTCACCGCCTTGCCCTGTATATACCGTCTTCGCCACCCACGAGGGATCGCTAAACACGCTTGAAAACCGGCGAAGCGTCTTCTGCGGCCGTAAGGTAGCATTGTCCGGATACCGACCGGGCGGCAGGTTTTCCTCGCACCTAATTCCGACCGGAAATGGCGAAGAAGCAGCGGAAGGGAAGTAAAACCCGCGGGGCGGGCGCAGATGACGAGTTCGACAGCGGTTCTTCGGTCTCAAGCGGTGCTATGAACGCGATCAGCACGTCCATGAGCACGATTGCGGACGCCATGGCCAAGCAGGGCGAGGCTATGGCGAGGCAGACGGACATGCTGACCATGGTGCTTGGCAAGTTAGCGGCGCCGGAGAAGCCAAGCACAGGACTAGCAGCGGAAAGAACGACCGAACCAGCGGCAAGCAGCGCGAGCAGCGCTACTGGAACTTCAGAAATCCGCGGCGGACTGGCGTTTCAGCAAAAAATGTTTTCCGACCTGGCTTCTTCTTCCCCCGCCGAGCAGGCGGAGCCCGGAACCGCCATTGCGGCGATGCTGTCGGACTGGCTCGACTTCCCGCAGCCGTTGGGACGCACGCTGACGCCGCAAGAGACGATCAAGGCGGACAAGATTTCGGACCAGATGCCACACTTCCAGCCGGACAAGGAGTCAATGGCGAAGTACCTACCGCGGCTTGCGAAATGGGCGCGGATGATGATGAAGCTGGAATTCGACGAGGAAAGCGTCTTCGACCTTATCGCGGTCGGGGCGTTCAAGGTGCACGCGGAATCGCAGGAGACGGTGGAAAACATCGCGGGGAAATCGCTTTTCGCCTTGGCGAAACAGCTTTTGCTGGACAACACCGGGACGCCGTCCACGGCGCTAAACGATCGCACCACCGCCCTGCTCCAGTCGCTGAGACCGCGGGGAACCAAGGTCGGGGACTTCGTCCGGGCCAAGGAGCGGGAGTACACCGCCTTGGCGAAAATGTCCGCTGGAGTCAGCAGCCTGGTGGCGGGTGATGCGATTCTCCGCACGGCACTGCTGGATCGCGCCACCCAGCGCATGGCGCGGCTGGTGTTCGGGGAGCAGACAACAGTTTCCAAGGTGTGCTACACCTTGAAACACAGCGGGGCGGCAAACGACACGGAGATTTACCCGCGGGACAACCAGCCGGTGAACCACGCCAATCTGATGACCTGCCCACCGGTGGATACCGAACCGAGCTACACGGGGGAAGAGTGGTCGGACTGGTTTCGCGGCCACCTCAACAACGGTTATCAGCTTTTGTACACCGGCACGGGGAACGGGAACCGCGGACCCGGCGGGGGAACGCACTGCGGCCTGGGCGACCGGTGCTACTTCTTCATCAAGTACGGAAACTGCAAGAAGATCCACACAGCGGCCGAGAAGGAGACTTTGCGCAAGAAGCGGGCCGAGTACGTCGCCAAATTTGGCGAGAACAAGAATCCCCCGTGACTATCTAGTGGAAACACGAAAAGCAGCAGCCGGAAAGAAAACAGCACAGCCACGCGCCGCGACGTGGCTCCGGCCTATGCTGCAAAAGATTTTGATGTGAATTCTGCGCGACCTGTTCCTTCACCGTGTACAATTTTCGTTCCACCTTCCAGACCTACAGCGAGCGGCACTTTGCCGCAAGCAAAAACAAGCACTACCAGCACTACCACTACGTCTTCCTCCTCCGAAAGCCTTTTGCAGACGGACGGGAAGAAGATTTCGACCAAGCGGCCCGGCAGCCTTTTGCAGCCGGAGCGCAATCTTGAAGACCGGGAATCGGAGGCAGCTACCGCAGCGGGTAGCGAGCAAGCGAGGGAGAAGCCAACCGATTTCGGGTCGACTTTGATGATGAAAAGCACATGCAAAACTGCAAATAAATCTCATGTAAATATCCAAAACGCACAAACCAGCACTACCGCGGGCGGCAGCGAAGCCGTGGAACGACTAAGACTGGTTTACCTGAGCCGGGGCGCCGATCTGGTTACCGCTACGCTTTTTGCCTGTTTCGACACTGGGGCGAGCTCCCTGGTGTTCCCGGCGGACGGGGCGCGCGAACTCGGAGCACAAGTTGTTGAAACCGGGCCGAAGAAGACTTGGGAGACGGCCAAGGGCGCAGTAGCAGACTTGGGGTTTTCCAACATTGCGATGCGACACAGGAAAACAGACGGACGGTGGACCGCGTGGCGACCTGGGTGCTGGCGGGTGCTCCCAGGGCGGTTCCACCCTTTGGTGGGAAGAAGCTTCCAGCGGCAGCTTGGGTTCCGGAACGAAACTAGCACCAGCGGAGAGATGCTAGTACTGGCGGGCGATGACCTTCGGGTGAACAGTGCGGACGACATTCTTTTGGTGGAGACGGAGTTCAGGGCCGCAAGTCCGCGGGAACAGGTTTTCTCGATCTTTCTTAGCGGGTTCCTAGCCGGCCCCAAGCCGACGTCGATCGCGGAGCTTTTTGAACGTTTTCCGCGAATCACGAGGGAGCGCAAAGAGTGGCTAGTGCGGTTGCACTACAACGGCGGCCACTTTGCAACCCTGGGGGAAAAGATCAAGGACGCGAAGGAAAGGGAGTTTTTCGAAGGGATCCGAAAATACGACCTGTGCGAGGAGTGCGCCACCTTTGACAAAACGCGGGACATCCTCCACCCGGTGGGCTTTAGCCAGTTCGCAGCACGGCCCCGCCTCCTGGTCGGGGGCGACGCAGTTAGCACCGCCCTTGGGATGGTCTACCACATGTTCGATTTCGGTGCACAGAAGCGGATCCTGCACCTTATCGACCACCACTTGCCGGAGAAAACGGGCGCGAATTCCGAAAAGCCACCGGCGCAAGTTCCGGCCGCTCTGCATCGCTTCAAGAGCCGCGCCGGGGGGTTCCCGACCTGCTTCATTTACGACGAGAAAACGGACCAGATCAACGCAGAAGTAGAGGGGTTCTTGGTGGAGAACGACATAATTGGGCTGCCCATCCCGTTCAAGTCGCCGCACATGATCGGGAAGGAGGAGCGGGCGCACGCAAAGTTCAATAAAAGTTTGAACAAAATTTTGCTGCTAACCGGGGGGACCAAGATCGCGCTGCTAGAACAGATCGTCGGCCTGCGGGGTGTTTCCAAGGCTATTGCGGATTTCGCGGACACGGTCTACAACTCGAAAAAGGTCGACGCGGACCAGTTCGAGTTGAAGGAAAAGCTTTTGGACTACTGCGAGGAGTTGTTGAATTCCTGCCCGGGGGCGCATGGTACCTGCTACAGCCCCAACAACCTCGCCCACGGCCACTGCGAGGGCAACGACGACCGGGGGTCGCGTTACATCCTGCAACAGTTCGGGTCGGCTTTGCAGGAGCAGAAAAAGGCGATGATCGAGGTGCAGTGGAAAGAGATGCTGAGTCGGGTTCGCCGTTTCAACCGCGGATACAAGCTGAGCCGGTCCATCACGAACATTTCCGAACTAAGCCCGGGAGACACGGTTCGCATTTTGCGGGCCCATGGCAAGCAGTCGGAGAACTGGCACGGGGGAAAAGCGCACTGGAGGCAGACCGGGACGTGCGTTGGGGTCGATCCCCTCAAGGGCGAGGCTTTGGTGAGGCCTTCTGGCAGCAACAAAATTCTTCCCTACCGGGCCGCCCAGGTAAAGAAGTTCGTGATGAGCGCAGAAGAGATTCAGCACGGGAGACCCTTGGGCGACTACATGACCGCCCCCATCGACTTCCACCCGCTTCCAGGAATTACAGCGCCTGAAGACCGCAAGCAACAAGTTTCCGCACCGGGGGCGGTCGGGACAGGCGAAGAAAAGAAGACCACAACTTCCGGGAACAACAGCAAGCTACCAGTCGCAGCAGCGGCAGAACCGACGTTCCAGCCGCCGCGCAAAATCATAAAGGAGGAACGAAAGCGGGGCCGCCCGCCAAAGCAAAAGCCAGCTTCTACCGTACAACCACTCGAACCTCCGCGACCACCACCAGAAGCAGTTCCGCAGCAAGCTGGGGCGGCCGGCCAGAAGAGAAGCGCGCAGGACATCCTCGAGGAGGAAATTTTTGGATCGCCCATTCCCGAAGAGCCAGCTAGCAAAACCAGAAGACTGCTGATGACGAGTTGCGACGCGCTCTTCACGCGCGACAAATCCACACCGGCAACAAAAATAGACGACCGCGGCGCGGCCTTTTCCACCTTCAACATCTCCACCGGCCCAGTTTACAACTGCGAACTAACCGAGGCGGCGCAAGCGTTTGTTGCACAAACCAGCACAGGACGAGCTCGGGTGGAGGAGGAAGATGACAAGTTGTTTTTGGTCGAAGCGGACCCGGTGGAGCGCGATCCAGTGTTACGGACGGCGGGGGACTGGAAGAACCAGCTGAGGGCCATCGAGAGCAACACAAACTTCCTGCAGGACTTGATCACCCAGCGCGGCCGCCAAACGGTCTTCAAATCCTCCTTCCGCGATCCGGTAGTAACAGAAATAAACAAACTCCTGAACGGGCGACCGGTTTCGGGGACGGCGGCGGGCTTTGGGGGTGATGTTTACGTGGTTGAAGCGAAGGTGTTCCGCAGGGGCTGCCAAGTTCCACCAACTCTTCGCGGGTACGACCAGGCCTTCCGCTTCGGGCACCAAACTCCCTTCCAAGTTTTCGAACCGGGCCAGGACAGACCGCAGCGGGAAGACCTTCACTTGTTTTTGAAAATCGAGCAGCCGCGGGAAGTGAACTGGGAAGCAGTGACGCCAAACGGGTGCAGCGTCGAGCTCACGATGGCGCAGATAGACAAATACGGCCTGTGGCACCTGGTGGACGAAGCAAGGGCGGCGGAGGTCAAGGGAATCCAGGCCCTTGGGGTTTTCGACATGGGCAGCCAGCAAGACGACAGGCCGGCCGGGGCCTCGGTGGTGGCAAGCCGGATCGTCTTCACTTTGAAGTTCAATTCCGGGAAATTTGTCAAGGCCAAGATGCGGTGGCGCGCGAAGGGCTTCATGGATTCCCGCTTGGAGGGCGGGAAGTTGGAGAAGCGTTGCCACACCCTTTGCGACAGTTCCCTGCTGGTAATTTTGCACTGGCTGAGCAAGCACAACAAGTTGGCGAACATCGCGGACATCAGCCAGGCGTTTTTGCGCGGGGACCTGTTGCTTGACCCCGTCTGGCTGGAGATCCCCACCGCGATCCAAGGCAACACGGCTTTCGGCTTCCAGGCGAAGTACATAAAGCTTCGCCGCTGCTTGTACGGGCTTGCGGATGCTCCTTTGGCGTGGCAAAAAGTTTTGTTCCGGAGCTTGAAGGAAGCCGGGTGGCGGCAGGACCTGCAAGACCCGTGCTTGTGGTACTTCCCCAAGGAGAAAGCAGAACCAGCAGCGGCAGACGAGAAACGAACCACCGGAACCGAAGCCGAGCCAGAGGAGACGCCCGCGGAGCCAAGCGGCGACGAGGAGAGGAGAAACGCAAACCCGCTGCTGCGCAGCAGCATCGACGACCCCTTGCTCAAGGAGCAAGAAATAGAGGGGATTTTGGGTGTTCACGTGGATGACACCATCTACGGCGGGTCGCAGCGCGCACACGAAAGTTTGGAGAAGGTCTTCGAGCAGTTCCCGCCAGGAAGCCGGACCTGCCTGCAGCCGGGGGACAGCGACAATTTCTGCGGCCGCTCCATTAAATGCACCAAGCACGGCGAGTTGCTCCCCGAGGAGAAACAGGAAAACGGTTTCGAGCTGAAAGAGGGGGAAAAGATCGTCGCGGGCGCGGATTCGGACTGCGCTTTGGCGTTCGAAGTTGGGCAGCAATCCTTCATCAAAACCATGTCCCCGATCACCGAAGAGGAAGTGCAGAAATTTTTCGCGAACAGAAGAAGAAAGTCGCCACTGAGGCGGGCGATCGGGGAGTTGATGTGGGTCACAAAATGCCAGGTGAGTTTTGTGGCCAACATCTGCATCCTCGCCGGCATGGTGAACGATGAAGCCGAGGAAGAGGAGTACAGCGCGCTAGTGGCGGAGGTTAATGACTTGATCGGGCAAGTCAAGGAGCACGCGGGCGACGCCATACATATCCGACCCACCTCCCAAGCCCCAGATGTAATTCTGGGCCTGGTAGACGCTTCGCTGGTGCCGCGGCTCGGCGCGCTGGTGTGCTTGCTGAACAAAGAGAAGGCTGCTTCGGGACAGGGCGACGAAGGGACAGAAAAACTAGTCTACAACATGATCACGCACTACAGCTCCAAACCTTCCCGAGTTTTTAGCAGTTCCACAAGCGCGGAACTGCTTGCCATCCGCCTGATCATCAGCGAGCTGTTATACTTTCGCGGAATTTGTGTTTCCGCTGGCCTCACCCTGTCGGTGCAGCCGCTGGTGATCTGCACCGACTCCAACAACATCGTCCGCAGCAGCAGCAGCACTATGATCCGGACGCCTAGTGAGCGTAATTTACGGGCGGACTACAACTTCATCTCGCGGCTGATTCAGGACGGCGACTTGCTTTTGTGGCACATCAAGGGCGCGGCAAACCCGAGCGACATTTTGACGAAGCAGGTGGAAAAATGCAACTTGGAAATGGTCCGGGATTTTCTCCAGCACCACAAAGCGCAGTTTGCGCTTCCGCCGGAGGTGCTGTGTATGCTGGGGGACGGTTGATTTTTATAACCCGCACCCCCGAGCGGGGAGGGCGTCGCGGTTTTGTTTGTTTTGGCTGTTGAGTGTCCGCGGAAGCTCAACAAGAATGAGCTCAACTTCAATTAAGATCTTTAGTAAAAAAAACCCTTCGCGCGACCTGAATCGCGCGAAAAGCAGCTGACAGCTTAACCCGCGGCATCTTGTAGCTCTATCGGTTTTCAAATCTAATCACGTTGCATTTTTCAACTTCCAACTTCGGTTTCTAAGGGGGATTTTCTTATTTTTGTAAGATATCTACCAGACATGTTGCAAAATTCGCGTTCTCAGGCTTACAGAGCACCTTCCAGCCAGGTCCTAGACCACTATAGATGCCTTCTCTTTCGTTTCGTCGCTTCATGTAGGATTTCGATTTCGTTTCTACCCCCGCAAGACCTTGTGCTTTTCGTGGAAAAAGTTCCAGAAAAATGACCTACTTCTGATATGTTTCTCCATCTTGTTCTCCTCCAAACACGGCGGAAGCAGGAGTTTTCCACCTTTAAGAACTGAACCAGAAAAATGAAGTTTCTCATGCTGTTTCGCACTTTGTTATCGTTTGGCTGTACTAACCACGTTGCAAGCTTCACATAAGGTTCTCGGTATTCTATATGAATTCGCACTCAAATACATTCTCCAATTTGTCATGCTCTTTTGTACAAAACTCTCTAGGTTCGGCGTCTTCTAGCAAAGAAAATATCTTCGTGTAAAATTTCAAAAAAAAATATCTTCGTTTACGGTTTCAAAAGATAGCTTCGTGTACAATTTGCATCCTATGCGCGTGAGCATCTCTTCCCGCAATGCATGCTAGTTTCGTGGTCACCTATCGCGGTCAAAAGTTATAACATATTCTCGTGGTTTTCACCATCTCGTGGACAATTTCTTTATTTCGTGGTCAGCTACTAGTTTCGAGGACAAACGCTTTTAACGTATTCAGTTCGGGGACGCAGGGTGTACTAGTATCGAGGACACAGAGTGCAAGGGCACTCCGAACGAGGACAACAGAAGGTGCAAGGGCACCGAAATGAAGTTCGAGGACACAAAACAGCTCTTCCCCTCCTGGCCAGGACGACCATAGGTTTTGTACTTCTTTTACCTTTTCGCTACCATGCTCAAGCCTATTTTTGGGAAGGGGGGTGTAACAATTGTGGTGTTGGTGGGGTGCACACCACCAGCGCCACAAATTGGCACGCCTGCGCCTGTATATCGTAGATTTTACAGCCTTAGCGCTTCAGGGTCGTACTTAGCTGGTTAAGGTCGTGAATATCGCTAGAGTCGTGGGCCAGGAGTGGGGGGAGAGAATCGAGAGGGATTCGTGTACTCTGCTCGTGTTTCGAGGATATCCGCATGCTATGGCGGACGTGGACTGACAATGCGCATCTTCCTTTGCTGTTTTAGGTTGGTTCTACTATCTCGAGTTCCGGACGAAGGTCGTCTGGTGGTTCTGCCGCATCTGGGAAGCGTGTTCCTAGTGCGTTGCTAAGATAGTTCGATGCTATTTAACAATTGGCGTTTCCTTGTATACTTTTCATATTTCTGATTAGATTAACCACATTAATTGGAATCTACCATAAAAATAAAATTTTGAAAAAAATGAAAAAGTAACAAATTCTGTAAATATAGTGATGCAAGGACGTAACAATTGTGGCGCCAGAAAGCCGTACGGTGGGGCGCGCACTCCCCCTCGTACGGTCCCTGACACCACAAGGAAACCGCCCCCCCCCGACGCTTCGGTGGTGGCGTCCCGGATCGTCTTCGCTTTGAAGTTCTGCAACGGGAAATTTGTGAAGGCGAAGATGAGGTGGTGCGCGAAGGGCTACATGGACTCCAGGTTGGAGGGGGGACTTGAAAAGCGCTGCCACACCCTTTGCGACAGCTCCCTCCTCATCATCCTCCACTGGCTCGCCAAGAATAACAAGCTCGCGAACATTGCCGACATTAGTCAGGCTTTCCTCCGCGGCGAGCTGTTAACCGACCCAGTTTGGCTGCAGATACCGGAGGCGATTCAGGGCATGGGGTTCGACAGCAAGTTCATAAAACTGCGGCGCTGCATCTACGGCCTGGCCGACGCTCCACTGCAGTGGCAAAAGTCCCTCTTCAAGAGCTTGCGGGTAGCGGGTTGGCGGCAGGACAACCAGGACCCATGCCTGTGGTACTTCCCCAAGCAGAAACCCGCCCAAGAACAGAAACCAGCAAACGGGGCCGAAGCCCCACCAGCAGCAGAAACGGAGAGCAACCTCGTTGCGAGCAGCGATGAGGAAAGGAGAAACCAAAACCCACTGATGAGCAGCAGCATCGACGACCCCTTGCTGCAGGAAGCTCAAATCGAGGGGATTTTGGGTGTTCACGTCGACGACACCTTGTACGGTGGCAGCCGGGCGGCGCATGAAAGTTTGGAGAAGGTCTTCGAGGAGTTCCCGCCGGGAAGCCGTACCTGCTTGCAGCCTGGGGACTTCGACAATTTTTGCGGCCGGACTATAACCTGCACGGGACACGGGGAATTGGCCCCAAGTGACAAGGACGACGACACGTTCAGCAAGGCAGAAGGAGGAAAAATTTTCGCGGCTTCATCCTCCTCCACCTACATCGGCTTCGAAGTGGGTCAGCAGTCGTTCATCCAGGGGATGAAGATGATTTCCGACGCGGAGTTGCAGAACTTTTTTCAAAACAGAAAACGAAAATCGCCCCTGCGCCGGGCGATTGGGGAGCTTATGTGGGTTACCAAGTGCCAGGTGAGTTTTGTGGCCAGCATCTGCATCCTGGCAGGGCGGGTGGACGACGAGGCAACGGAGGAAGACTACGAGCTATTGGTGAGCGAAGTCAACGAGCTGATCGCGCTGGTAAAGGAAAACGCGCAGGACACGATCAAAATTTTGCCCACCAGCAGCTCCCCCGACGTTGTTCTGGGCCTGGTCGATGCGAGTTTGGTGCCACGCCTGGGGGCAATGGTTTGCCTCCTCAACAAGCGAAAAGAGGCTGCACAAGCGGGGGAAAACGAAAAAGATTTGGTCTACAACCTGGTCACGCACTACAGCGCCAAGCCTTCCCGGGTTTTCAGCAGTAGCACAAGCGCGGAATTGCTGGCAATCCGGTTGATCATCAGCGAGTTGCTGTACTTTCGCGGAATTTGTGTTTCCGCCGGCTTGGCTACGGCAGTGCAACCGCTGGTGATCTGCACCGACTCCAACAACGTGGTCCGGAGCAGCACCAACACGCTAATACGGGCGCCAACGGAACGCAACCTGCGGGCGGATTATTTCTTCATTTCGCGGCTGGTGCAGGACGGCGACCTTTGTATTTTTCACATCAAAGGCGCGGCGAACCCGAGCGACATTTTGACCAAAGAGATCGCGAAATGCGATCTCGAAATGGTTCGCCGCTTCCTGCAACATAACGACGCCGACTTTCAGCTTCCCCCGGAGGTGCTGGGAATGCTGGAGTGAAGTGAATTCGTAACCCTGACCGCCGCCGGGGGTCTTCGTTCCGGTTTTGTTTTTCTTCTCTCCCAGCGTGATTCTAACTTTTAAACAGCTACCAGGATACTACTGCGAACAAACATACTTTACAGCTCTCGGGGTATCGTGTCCAGATACCCACCGGGGGAAGGCTTACAATGCCAAGAGCGTGTTATCACAGCAGCACAAGTTCTTCTTTTTTGCACGACCTAAAACTCGCATGCGGGGGCTCAACTGATAACCATGCTTATCCTGTAGCAACATGTTGCCTTCGCCCCGCTCGCTCAAGCTCTTATACATTTTTGACATTTTTGATTCCTCTCTCTAGCACGCAAAAGCTCCTTTCTCAGTGGGCTTTGCTATGTTTCACAAGATTTTCGGCAAAAATACCTTCAACCTCGCGTTCTCAGCATTACAAACCACGTTTCTTGATGTCCTTCTTCTTTTGTTTCCTATCTGTCGTTTCGCTACAAACAAAAAAAAATGAACCTTCGTGTAAAATTTTCAAGAATTCGCACTACTGTAAGATGATGCTCTTTTTCGGTTTCGCGACTACATTTATTTCCGTTTCGCTGTTGAGTCTCCGCGGAAGTTCAACAAAATTTATTTTCGAGATCTGTGCACAACAAACCAAGTGCGGCAATTTGTAATGCTAAACGGCGTTCTGCATAAGAGTGCCAGACTTAGTTTGTCATGCTGTTTCTACACTTCTGGTCGTTTTGTACAAAATTAATCTGTTCATCCACAACTTAAAAGTATATTTCTTTCCCGGTTCTTCATGCCTATCGTGTTTTCGCAGTTTCAGTTTCAGAATTCCGTGTATGATTTCGCGTTCTCCTTTTTTGAATTACATCTGGTTTTTCTCTTGTGGCGATAGAGGTTTCTAGTGGCTATCGAAGGTCTTCCCTCCTCCTGGCTTAGTTCTTCTACCTTCTCTTATCGGATTTCAAAACTCGCGTTTTTCAACACTGATGTCAAGACCTCTTTTTTTGGAGGGGGGGTTGTAACAATTGTGGTGTCAGGGACCGTACGAGGGGGAGTGCACGCCCCACCGTACGGCTTTCTGGCGCGCGATTGTGTCGGCCCTCTCGAGTAGCAATCGTTTCGTAGCTAAGGCTTCAGCGTAGGGGTAGAAACTAAAGAGGCAGCCAGGAGAGAGGGGAGAGAGGAAGAGAGCACCAGGAGGGACATCGTTGATGTCAGGAATCGCAAGGCGTTTCGTGGTAGACAGTACCTGTTTCAGGATGAACACTGAACGAACTGCACTGCTTTCCTTCTGTTTTAGGTTGGTTCTACCTATCTACTGAGTTCGTTCCCGGACCGAGCTGGTTCGGAGGTTCTGCCACATCCTGGAGCGTGTTCAGGGTGTGTTGCTCGATAAGTGGTCGATGTTCCTTCCCACTTTTAACAGGACGCGTGATGAATATTCTTTCGCTTTCTAGCGTACTTTTATACATTTTGCATTATGTTCATGCATGAATATACATCATCTGCGACGTGTTTTTCGATATTTTTTTCGAGATAAAATTTTCAATTTTTCTGGACATTCAGTATTTTCACGATTTTAGCGATTATGAATGACCTTGAGAGTACAACTGACACACAAGGAATGCTATGCCTGTTTTTACACATGCTGCAAAGTATATGCGGCGCGTTTTTTGGAGTATTCTCTACATTGGGATTCGACCACCCACCCCGTCCCCCCCC